GAGGAGGACAAATTAGAACGGCTCATTTTACATTGCCCTCTTGAATGAAATTCGGAGTAAGAGTGCTTTTCACACCATAGAAATTCTTTTCTTTTATGTTACTACTATTTTTCTACCAGGATAACTGACCACAAGCAGGTGGCTGTGACGTGTATGTTTCAACCTTCATATCCCACCGTTCCAGTGGTGACAGAGCTGAGGTCAAAAACTTTGGCAGACAAATTGTTAGATGGACTTGCCAGGATATGTGATGCAGAAGCCAAGAAATTGGAAGGAAAACCACAGGTACATTCCCTTGCTACTCTTGCCAGGTTTGTCAAGGTGAAATTTGAAATACAGTGGTCTCCGCCTAAGAACCCAACATCGCAGACAAAAAAAAATACTAGGGGGACCGGATTCTTGAACAGATTTCAAGAGGTGCAGCTCGGCACTTTGGCTTTTCTTATTTATACTACAATGAAAAAGTGACCTGCAGATGATATTGACAGCTGAGTGAAGGTAGAGAGGTTGTTTGTTTTTAAAAAACTAAAATGCAAGTGAGGACCAGAGGCCTCAGATTTAATTTTTATGACACATCATTGTCAGAGATTGATTTGATTTTGTAATGAAACAATGAAACCACACTAGTCGCAGTGCTGTATGGGTGGAGGGAAAGAATGGCTGTGAATGGGCCAGCTTTTATAAGACAATCCAGTGCTTTAACCACATTAGAGGAGCAAGTAATTGTACCAATTGAAAACCAGATTGTGATTGACTGGCTCAGCAGAGGCTCATGCATGCTTGAAAAAATGTTTTGCGTAAGTGCGAAAGCAATGTGTACATTTTGTCGACGGATTGTTTTCTTCAACTCCAATCTCTTCAACCCCACCTGTACAAAATATGGTAAATCTGCTCAGAAAAGTTTTTTTTGCGTAAACTCAAACTGTTTTCCTTAAAAAAAAATCTTAGTAGGAGTTCTATTTTTGAGAATGGCTTCTTCTGTTTTGAAAATATGTATTTGTGTGAGATTGGGGGG